ATTCGAAAGCCAAGGCAGGTCTTCGCTTTTCAGTTAGCCCAGTCGCCTGTCTCCAGGCCTGCTAATGACTAACTTTCTGCTTAATAGCACTAAGTGCTTTGAAGAAAAAAAAAACAAAAAACAAGATTATGTGTAGGGGTTGTTGATTTTTAATGATTTTGCACACCTGTTATCCCAGAACTTGAAGCAGAAGGATTGCTACAAGTGCAAGGCCAGCCTGGACTATACAGCAAGACTCTGACTCAAAAAACCAAAAAAATAGCATGACGTTGTTGCACATGCCTGTAATCCCAGCACTCAGGAGGCTGAGACAGGAGGATTGCCCCAAGTTCAAGGCCAGCCTGGGCTATACAGTGAGTGCAAGCAAGGCCAGCCTGAACTACAGAGTGAGAGACCTTGTCTCGAAAACCAAACCCAAACGCATGTAAATAATGGTGTCATCAGGGAAGGCTTGTGAGCTACAACCCAAATGCCACAAAGGATATGACAGTGCAGAGAAAGGCTAAGAGGGTTGCAGATAAAGGAAGCCTCAAAGCACAAAGATCCTCAAGCCTGATTAGACCAAGAAGTGGGAAGAAAGCCAGTGTGGCTGGAGGATGTGATGGTGGGTGGGTCAGAGGGACTGGGTGGAGAGCTCATTAGGACCCTGATGGATTTGAGCTTTCAGGGAATGCAGATTTAAAGTGAGGAGTGGCAAGATGAGATTTCTGTTTCAAAAGATCCCCTTGGCTATGGCTCGAAGAATGAATTCAGAAGAGAGAATCGAGCTGTGGCAATAGTCCCTGTGAGAGATGATGATACATCCGACCAGAGGAGTGCAAGGAAAGAGAAGTGGGTAGATTTGGCATGAATGTAGGACTGATAGGACTGTTAACTTCCAAAAGTAATTAATATACCAACAATATGTAGGTAATTCTTCATTCCCAAAGCAGATACATGCTGATCGGATTTCAGAATAGCTCTCTGGAATAGACCAGAACTAAGGAGAGTTAGCTTTGTGTTCTAGTTGCACTCACAGTCCATACCAAAGTTTCATTCTGTCACACTTACTAGATTATAAAGTCTTTTAAATAGAAATAATTATACCTGGTTGCATCTTTAAACCCATCCACACTATGTGGTGCAGAATTAGATACGCATTACCAGCCATGCTGCACCACACTTCACTCGGTCCTGTTAAACACCTGACCCCTGTACCAAAGGTCTGAAAAGATGTGTAATTATTTAAAAACCATTCAGAATAAATCTCCTCCCTCCTTCCCTTTTGTCCTTCCTTCTTCGCATCCTTCCTTATTTCCTTCTTTATTTTCCCTCTTCTTTCTTGACTGCCCTTTTTTCTACCTTCCTCCTCCCTTCAGCAGCATGAGCTTTGAAGTCAGAGAGGCCTGGTTTCCTGGCTTCTGTGATTTGTGGCACTTACTTTGCCAAGTCTCAACTTCCAAAATTATAAATCTTCAGTAATTATGTAGTTTTATTACCCCTCAAGCATACGTATGGAGAAAAGAAGAATTTTTTAAAAACCCATAATAGAATCATTAGCTGTTAAGTGTAAGAACCAGCCTATGAGTTTATCCCTGATGCGGGGTGGGGAATGAAAGACAAAAGATACAAAGATAATTTACAATGAGGGGACCAGGGGCCTCTGCTACTAGTGGACAAAGAACCCTGAGCATTTGGTTCACATCGCTTTATTTTTTTGGTACCAGGGATCCAACTTGGATCCTTGTGCTTGTGAGGCAGGCAGCGGTAGGCACCACTGAGCTACATCTCTGGCCCTCGCATCGCTTTTATTCACTTAGACATGGGAGCAAGCAGTTGGGTTAAGAGACGATTCATCTGCCTCTTGTGCCCAGGTAAACACCCAGATCTCACCTGTGCTGACTCTTCTTTGGGACTTGCCACGTGCTAGCCAGCCTGCACATCGCCCAAGGAGGCGCTTCTTGTTGTTTTTCTCTTTTGTGCTTGCAGCGAATGTCACCTAAGCCTCACTCCTCATTATCTGATCTCCTGTAGTTAAGGAACTTGAGACCTTATGGGAATAGGGAAATGGGAATAGAAATGAGGTCAGACATAGACCCTTGTGCTTGCATGTGGTAGCGCATGCCTATAATCCCAGCCCTAGGAGGCTGAGGCAGGAAGATCACTGAGTTCAAGCCCGGCCTAGGCTGCATAGTGAGTTCAAGACTAAATAGCAAGACTCTTGTCTCAAAAACAAACAATAGATATAAGTATCCTTATAAAT